CAAAATAGTTTCTGCCAGGTATCGAGGGGGTGGGGGGAGGGGGGAGAAATGACCCAAACATTGTATGCACATATGAATAATAAAACAATAAAAATTAAAAAAAAAAAGATATTTGGTCTGCTTTTGAAGACTATTTAGTAACATGGGAAGATGTTCATGATATAACGATAAATGAATAAACAAAATCAAAAGCTGGTTATGTAATGTGATTTCAATTTTGTAAAAACCAATGCCAGGATTTTAATTAGCATCATTGAATCAACATGAAAACTTTTTCTACCATGATAGCTGAACATATATTTAGACAGAGTTTTACAAAGACCAAAGAACAATGGTCTAGAAAATCTGTGAAATCTTTCTCGCTTATCACTTAAAATGGGAACTAAGAAAAAGCCATAGCAGAATGCTAATTACAAATTAGTTTTTGTTTTTAAACTGCAAGAATGCAGAAATGGTAATATTTACATGACGATGTAACAATCTGGTGTGTTTCACAATCTGCCTCTTCCTTTGCTAGACAAAATCAAACCATGGAAACAATTATCACACATAGGAATACCATCCCTGTCAATTCCAATGCTTCAGTTTTGAAGTTCTAATGAAACTGTAAGAACTGCAGAAAATGTATTCATTTTGATTGAATACGCACTCGACAATTTTACATTTAGCAAGGTGTTAAATACCTATTATTCCGCTTTTCATTATGTATTATTCTACTACTCCACAGGACTATCATAAAAAGTCTTTCTCTGCTCTGGTCCATCCAAACACCCACATTGCTAAGGTTCTCATCGGATCTTACTCCAATGAGGAAGTTGAGAAGGTTGATCTCATAGAAGCTGAGTAGAATACTGCCTACCAGAGACTGGGGAGGGGAGGGTAGAGGGAGAAAAGGTTAGAGAGCAGGTACTAAGCAGGAGACTTAGGTTGTGGTTTTTTTGTTGTTTTTTAGAGGGTAGGGACAAGGTCTCACTAAGTAGCCCAGACTGGCATTGAACTTGTTATCCTCCTACCTCAGGCTCCCAAGTGCTGGGATTACAGGTGCACTCCACCATGCCTGGGTCAAGAGAATTCTGAGTTAAGTTTGATATTCTACTGCATACCCACGCAACTATAGCTAAGGCTAATTGTACCATTTATTAAAAAAAAAAAAGCTAGAAGGATACTGAGTGTTTTTACTACAAAGCAATGATAAATATTGAGGAAACAGATCTGTTTACCCTAATTTGAATATTATACATGTATATTTGTACTGAAATATCACACAGCACCCCGTAAATACGTACAAAAAAAATCTTTTTTTGTTATTGTTGTTGTGGTACTGGGGTTTGATCTCAGGGCCTATATATACCTGGAGCCACTCCACCAGCCCTTTTTGTGTCAGGTATTTTTGAGATAGGTCTTGCAAAGTATTTGCCTGGGCTGGCTTCAAACCCGGATCCTCCCAACCTCTGCTGGTGGCATGAGCCACCAGTGCCTGGCCAATTATGTCTTCTTTTTAAAAAAGATTTCCCCTATATCCTTTTAGATATTCCCCCTCCTTCTCTTCCTCCCTCCCTCCCTCCCTTCCTTTTTGTACCTGAGTTTGAACTTGCTAGACAGGCACTCCACCACTTGAGCCATGCCCCCAACCCTTTATTTCATGCTCATATACAAATGCACATGCACCAAAAAGCATTTTTCCTGAATTACATTATACACATTGCTTAGCAATTTTCTTGAAATTATATATTTTGCAATCTTTCTATACTTCTTTATTCAACTGCCTTATCCTCTTTAACTGCACCTAAAGTCACTAACTACATGGAAAGACCCTAAGTTGTATTAGTTCCCCAAACTAGGCTTGGTTAGATTAGCCTAAAACATCATCCTATTTACAGGGAGGGATAAAGGCTGTACCTCGCATTTCTGCTCCAGATACTAATTAGCTTCAGCAGAGGAGTAGGTGAGTATTGACTCTCAGATCCAAGCCTGCAGATCTAGGAGACAAAATAAAAACAGTATGAAATAAAAACATACAAATTACAGAAAAAACAACCAACAGACAGAACAAGCACCACACCAGAGAATGAAGAGCCAAGGGATTTGCACGTGAAGGACAGACTGAGGAAAAAACAAGGGATACAAAGTACATCAACACAGAAAAAAAAGAAAAAGAAAAGGCAAAAACTGTGCATGAAGTTCTAGACACTTGAAAAGAAGTGGGTATTTTAGGTTTCAAATGTTCAGAAATGACTGAGGGTTCATTTCTAAAATCAAGTTTCTCCTACAGCCTGCTTAGCTATAACTGCACAGTTATCAAATGGCTACAAGCAGAAACATCCAACAAGAAAATGCAGAACAGAACTACTGCATGTTTCCTGACATGCTTGTTACTATGAGATGCTATGAAAGTTATATCACATTTGCTTAAGAGACTCAGTTATATTCACCTTAGCCTTAAGTATAAATGTTACGGTATTTAAGAAAAAGCAACTCTTGATTTTTACTTCTGGTAGTGGAGGCAAGCAAAAGTGTTCGAAAAACTTGAAGATATAAAGAAATGCTTGATATCAGAGAAAAGATCAGGACAAGCATTCTGGTCTGGGTAGTAGACTATGCTGGTGAATGAATCATGAAGGAAGAAGTAGAGGGTGTGCAGGCAGAGGGTAAAAATTGGGGTTTACCTGAGGCCAAACTGCACCATGAAACACAGCATCAATTTCTTCTGTTCTAAACTGATGGGATTCCCAATCCACAAAGATATCAGTTATCATTTTGATTCCAAGACGTCTTAAATTTTTCAGGGGGTTAATAAACCTCAGCTGTACCTGCAAGACAAAGATCTTCTATTTTAAAAAATAAACATACACAATTTTTGTCCCTGATTTCTTAGAGAGGCACTGTTGCTGAGATGTCAAATCAAATTGGAAACCCTGTAATTAAAGCTATTGGCTTTGATTCACATGGGAATATCAACTGAACAAGGCGTATTGCTTTTCTCATGAACAATAAGCAAAGAAAAAATACCAAATGATGAGATGTGCTCCACTCTCCCTGCCCTGTAAAATCACACTAGCTGTCCACTTATTTTTACATATGACCTTAATTACCAACATCAAATTCTAAAAATCACCATTAACTTTATGAAGACAACAGAAATGTTCTCAGATAGTGAGTATCAAGTCCATGGTCATGATATGAATAAAATAGGAAACTTACTGACGAAAATCCGGTACCCTGATTATAGAGGTATTTGAATCTAAAAGAGCACATTTTAAATTCAATATGAACAAGGATGCCCTTAATTTGCCACGTAAGCCTGAGGAACCATGATATCCACACACCATCTACTTTTAGCTAATTATCTCATTATACAAGTTACAAAGGCAGAGGAAATGACAAGCAAATTACAAGAAGGTGACATAGTTACGAGTCACTCTGACCTGTTTTAATTCTACTAGCAGTATTTTTGCTATCAGCTAAATCATGTTTGGTGCACTGATACTTGAAAAAACATGGTCCTGTGACCAACTGGAGCAAGTAATAAACCAACATGAGCAAACATGACCTCAAATAAGACACCCGCCCTTCTCTACTCCCACCACTTCCGTGGGTAGGATCTGCAAGTTCTATTCATTTCTGTAACTACAGTGCCAGCAGCCCAGTTTATTCCATAACTGTTAAATAATTACTGGAGGAAAAGTCTGAAAATGAGCAATTGTAGACTTCAATTCCTAGAAGTCAGCATGGCTTAGTTTATGTACACTTACAAGTTACCCCACTGCTTAAATTAAACCCACACAACCACTAATTTTCATGATACAACCCAGAAGGATATGAAAGGTATAAAAAGTAAATGTGTAAATGTGTAACTTAGCTCAAATATATAAATGTAGAACTTTAACTTTCTTAAGGAAAATTACCAACAAATAATTTGTTATGCCACTTAAAAGGAATTCCTTGAATTTATTTAAAAAAAAAAAAAGAAATTAAGAAGCAAGCTAGCTTATATCTGTGATCAAGCTTAACACCTCACTAATGAACTGTGAAATTGCATAAATGATCCTCTGAGTTACTGATTGTTGACCTGGAAGTAAGGCACATTACTGAGTAACTCCTAAGTTAATAAAAAATCCAAAGAGCTTCTTTATATAGGCTTTTGACTTTCATAATTAATATATGAAGTCTTATACATCTGCTATATGGCATAAACACTCAGGTAAGTTTTCAAACAGCCCTTAAACACTCATATAACATGAAGAAAGATTTTTGTAAGACCTCTTTTCGACTTTGACTCTTGGCCTCTCACAGCTTTTCCACAAAGCAAACAAAGCAGTTTTTCTTTTTTTTTCAATTGCCAAATGTCCTCTGGGAGGCAAAACTGCCTGGTAGTGAACCACTGACTTTAATAATACTGACAATGTCTCATACCTTACATTGGGCAAATGGTGTAGTGCTTACAGAGAACTTTTGTGTATCTTTTCCAATGTGCTCTTTAATACAGCCATTATAAGGATAACAACTGCAGATTTCATTAGTCCTTTTTTTTTTTTTT